CCCAGGCTTCTGGTTTATGAGACTCTTATCTTCAATGAACCACCAAAAAGATGGAAGTAGAGCTATGGCTAAAGTGGTAGAATGGCAGCCCTAAGTGAAAAAAAGCTCAGGAATGCACACACACCAATATATGTAATATATTAGATAATATATAAACATATAATATTATGTATTATATATATATATATATATAAAATATCTTTTGGGGCCCACAGTGAGGACGCATGCCTGTAATCCCAGCTACTCAAGAGAAAGAGCCTGGGTTGCATAGAAAAACCCCGGCACATGCATGCATATGCACGCACACTCATACATGTGCACACACACAGGAGATCTTGGGGGGTCCAGAGGCTGCAGAAGGAAATGGGGGGCAGCCGGCTGTAAGCTGTTCTCCCCTGCAGGTGCGGCACGCCCGCCGCTCCGAAGGCCCCCCATCCACGGGCTGTTTGAACCCCATGATGGATGACGAGGTCAGCTACGCCGTCCTGCGTTTTCCGGAGGCCGACACACCGAGGCAGGGGTGAGGATTGAGTCCCCGATGTGGGGGCAGCGCCAGCGTCCCGTCTGCCATCCCTGGGCCAGGCACCCCTGTACCGTGCCCCCTGGCATCCCTCCGGGGGGGTACCCAGCCCCGGAATGAGCGAGGAGCCTGCCTGTTCAGTATCACACTGTGTGTCTATGTGTCGGTCCTGGGACTTGAACTCATGGCCTGGGAGCTGTCCTTTTTTTTTGCTCAAGGCTGGTGTCCTACCATTTGAGCTACCTCCACTTCCAACTTTTTTGGGGGAGCTGGTTTCTTGGAGATCAGAATCTCACTGGTTTCGAACCTCCAACCTTGATCCTCAGATCTCGGCCTCCTGAGTAGTTAAGATGACAGGCCGGCTCTGTGCTGCATTTTATCTGGCCTTTCCTTCCTGGGGTGCTGGGTGGCCAGCCTGGGGTGCCCCTCCATCGCCTCTCCCTCCGCAGGGACCTCGGCACCGCGGACGCCAAGGCCCCAGAATGTCTCCTGATGGGGGACGAGGCGGTCACGTATTCTGTGCTTCAGAGGCCTCTGGTGGTAAGGGGTCGGCCGTGGGGGGAGGGGAGTGGGGGGTCATGGGAGGGGGACCTGGGGGGAGGGGTCTGAGGGTGGGGGAAACCAGGAGGGGGGAGGTCCTGGTGCTGATCCAGTTGGGGGGCCGGCAGCTGAGGTGGGAGGGGTTTGGTGTATTCTGGAAGCCCTGGGCCCCCCAGGGAGGCTCGGACTCCCATGGAGGGGGGTCCCCCAAGTCTGAGGGTCTGGGCACCGTGGGAGATGGGCCAGGGGTCCCTGCGGGGGCTTTGGGGGGCAGCAGGTGGGGTTGTGGGGGGCCTGTGGGGTGACTGGCAGGGGGGCCGTGACAGCCCGGCTGACCCTTGACCCCGGCCTGTGCCTTTGCCCAGGGCGACTACGAGAACGTGGAGGAGGCGGCGGGGGCGCGCGCGGAGGAGGCGGCGGGGGCGCGCGCGGAGGAGCGCGCCGGGGAGGACGGCGTGCACTACTCGGAGCTGGTGCTGTTCGGCGCTGGGGAGCGGCGGCCGCGGCCGGAGGAGGTGGACTACGTGACCATCGCCCAGAGCTGACTCTGCTGCGGCCACTGGCGGGCCGCCCAGGGGCTGCGCACGCACACAGTCACGCACACGCATGCCCGTGTGTGTGTGTGCAAGCACGCAGATACACGCACAGAGTGTATGCACACAGTCACGCACACGCATGCCCGTGTGTGTGTGCAGGCACGCACAGATACACGCACACACGTGCAGTATATGCACACAGCCACACACGTGCATGCAGTGTGCACGCACACACACGTACCATGCAACCCACACGTACACACTGTGCACTTGGACAATACACACATATGCACACAAACATGCACGCCTGTATACAATGCACACACGTACATAGACATACATACATGTTCACAAATTCATGCACACACACGCACAAATGAATGTGCAAGGTACATGTGCTAATCACACACCCACACACATTCACGTACACACGTGCGCACGCAAGCAGTGCTCATACACATTCACTCATATGCGAGCATGTGTCATATGTGTGCCCGTGCACTCACACACACACACACACACAGCCCCTTCCTCCTCAGCACTCTGCAAGCCCAATTCCAGACCGTACAACTTCCTGTGTCCCCCCCAACCCCAGCCATCTGCCCCCCCCCCCCCCGTGTCGTTCCCCCCCCCCCCACAGCCTCCTCCCCATGCTGAGTAGTATATTGGAGATAAGAGTGTCACGGACTTTCCTACTGGGCTGGCTTTGAACCACGATCCCTCGATCTCAGCTTCCTGAGTGGCTAGGATGACAGGCATTAGCCACCAGTGCCTGGCCTCAGTCAGTAACTCAATGTCTAATTTCTGCCCCTGGGGTAGTCTCCAGGAGGGGTGGAAATGAGGCAGAGAGAGGCCCAGTGCCCAGCTGCCTTCTCTTCTTCCAACATGCCCACCAGCAAACCGGGCCTTCCACAGAGAGGCACGTGCTGCCCTGGGGTGGGGGGGGTGGGGGTGGGGGGATGGGGGTGGGCGGCAGCGGGAGGAAGGGCAGCAGAAGAGGCCTAGCTGCTCAATAAACACAGGCACACAATTCCGGAGAGCCAGAGGTCTCTGTCCTGTCTGTGGGGTGGCATGGGGGGGGGGGCATGGTGATTTCTGTGCTCAAGTCAGACAATAAGATAGTCCTTTTGTTTGGGTTAGTCATGGGGCTTGAACTCAGGGCCTTGATACTGTCCCTACAATTTTTGCTCAAGGCTAGTGTTCTACTGCATTGAGCCACATTTCCATTTCTAGCTTTTTGCTGGATCATTGGAGGTTAACTCTCAGGAAGTTGGGTGCTGGTAGCTCATGCCTGTCATCCTAGCTACTTAGGAGGCTGAGATCTGAGGATCAGAGTTCGAAGTCAGCCCAGGCAGGAAAGTCTGTGAGACTCCTATCTCTAATGAACCACCAGAAAACCAGAAGTGGTGCTGTGGCTCAAGTGGTAGAGTGATCTCCTTGATCTGAAGAGCTGAGGGACAGCACCCAGACCTAGAGTTCAAGCCCAGGATCAACCAAAAAAAAAAAAAAAGTCTCCTGGACTTTTCTAATCAGGGCTGGCTTTGAACTGTGATCCTCAGCTCTCAGCCTCCTGAGTAGCTAGGATGACAGGCAGGAGCCCACTGACACCCAGCTTGGGAGTTTTAATCATGATTTTTTCTGCTAAGCTAAACTGAGCTGCCTCCCCCCCCCCCCCCCGCCCTGCACACACAGACCTTGAACTTGCACAGATCCAGTTTTTTGTGCGATCTCTAGCCTGGGAGTCCTCTAAGGTTTCCAGGGCGGAGTCCTCTTGCGGGAGCCCTTGGCGCCTCTCAGAGCCAGCCTAGCTTCCTGGCAACCCCAGCAGCTTGGTCTCCCCGCTGTCCTGGGCGGGGCTGGCACTGCTTGGGACCCAGTAGCCATGGAGAGAGAATGTCAACAGTTTTTCTGAGGTGCAAAGAGCAGGTGTCCAGGAAACTCAGGGGCTGGGGACTCCCCACCACAGCAGATCTTGGGGGGTGGGGGGATGGGGGCAGGCGAATCCCCACATCGGAAGGCTCAGTCCTCACAGCCCCGATGACAGCGCTGGGACTCTGAAGGAGCACAAAGCAAGATGCAAATAGAAGTTGGGGTGCAGAGGATGGGGGTGGGGTGGGGGAGAGGGTCAAGGAAGGCTGCCATAGGGGTGGATTGCAAGGCAGTAAGAATTACTTTCTCCAGGTGCAGTGGGATGTGCCGTAATCCCAGCTACTCAGGAGGCAAAGATGGGGAAGATCGAGGGTTGAGGCCAGCCTTGAACTGTTTCCTGTCTCTTTTCTTCTTTTCTTTTCTTTAGTTGTGGGGCTTGAACTCTGGGCCTGGGCTCTTCAGCTCAAGGGGAGCCCTCGACCACTTGAGCCACAGCCCCACTTCCGGTTTTCTGGTGGTTCATTGGAGATAAGAGTCATACGGAGTTTCCTACCTGGGCTGGCTCTGAACCGTGATCCTCAGATCTCAGCCTCCTGAGTAGCTAGGATGACAGGTATGAGCCACCAGCACTCTGGCAATTCTAATTAAAAAAAAAAAAAAAATAAATGAATAAAAAGGGAACACAAGCCAGGTATGGTGGCTGAAACCTGTAATCTTGACTAAGACTTGGAAGGCTGAGGTTGGGAGGATCACAGTTGAAGGCCAACTGAGGCTAAAACAAAACACCCCCCCCAAACAACAACAACAACAAACTCAAGACCTCATCTCAACCAATAAAAATCGGAGCATGGTGATTCACACCTGTCATCCCAGTTAGGAACCTCCGGAGGAAGATCACAGTCCAAACCAGCCAGGGTATAAACACAAAGCCCTATTAGAAAAGTTGAAAAGAGAAAAAAAGCAAGCAAAAAAGAATTAGGGGTATGTGGCTTATGTGGTAGAGTACCTATATAACAAGTGCTAAGCCCTGAGTTCAAATCCTAGTGCCCACCCTACACACAAAGAAGTTAAACAGCAACAACAAAAATCCTCAAAGCTAGGGGAGGGAGAGAAAGGAGGAGAGAGAAGCTAAGCCTCCCACATGAGCCCTGGAAAGGTTCTTTTGTTGTCATGTCGTGTGCAGCTCAGGAGGCTGAGATCTGAGGATCACAGTTCAGAGCCAGCCTGGGCGGGAAAGGCTGTGAGACTTTTATCTCCAATGAACCACCCCAAACCAGAAGTGGCGCTGTGGCTCAACTGGTAGAGTGCCCATCCTGAGCCAAAGCAGCTCAGGGACAGTGCCCAGGCCCTGAGTTCAAGCCCCAGGACTGACAAAAAAAAAAGAACTGGGAGGAGGAGGGAGAATCTAGTCCCCCCCCCCCTCTGCCTCCCCTCCCCCTCCCCTCCTGCTGTCCAGCCCCCCTCCCTGCCTGAGATGCCCCATTAGCTGCTCACCCAGGCTGCTAGCCTGGCGGGGCTAATGGCCACTCCCGTACTTGCCTTCCTTCCTTCCGGCTCACTGCCTAACTCAGGGGTGCTCTCCAGCTGCTTGGAAAAGGGGGCCAGTGAACCCCACAGACATCTCAGGGCGTCAGGTGAGTCTCTACTGCTCTTCTCCCCTAAAACCCCCACCCCATCCCCCTAGGGCCCCCTGATCTACAGGGGTCTCCAGAATTGACATCCCCCCCAAGAGGCTTGTCCTTAGAGTGCTTCCTTGGGGTCCCCTTGGCCTACCCCTCTGTCTGCCGCCCCCCCACGTCTCTTCTTTGCTTCTGGGCCTTGGTGCCTGTCATAGGGGGCCCCCATTCACGGGGGACGCCGTCCCCCTTGCTGGGGGGGAAGGGGAGGGGGGCAGTGAACGCGTTGAGGGTGCTCTTGCTTATCTGCTCTGAGCTCTCTGCCCCTGCTCTTCGCTCAGAGTGTCAGGGATTAAGCGAGATCCCACCTCTACCCGTTCCAGGACTACACAGCCACCCTTATTTCGGGGGTTTCCCGCATGACACCCCCCCCACGGAGCCTCGATCTTATAAGAAGCCATCTGACAGCCCAGAAGGAAGAGGTGGAGGAGGAGGACGGAGGGCTGGACGCCCCGCTTCTGATCCAGCCCCCCACAGATCAGACCTCAAGAGATCCAGGGCAGCTTGAGAAAGGGGGTTTGGGGGACCCGAGCCCCCCCTCCCACCGTCCCCATGGACCTGCCCCCACAGCTGTCCTTTGCCCTCTACGTGGCTGCCTTCGCGTTGGGGTTCCCGCTCAACGTGCTGGCCATCCGGGGTGCCATGACCCACACCCGCCGCCGCCTCACGCCTAGCCTGGTCTACGCCCTGCATTTGGGGTGCTCCGACCTCCTGCTGGCGCTCACGCTGCCCCTGAAGGCTGTGGAGGCCCTGGCCTCGGGGACCTGGCCTCTGCCCCCCAGCCTCTGCCCTGTGTTTGCCCTGGCCCACTTTGCACCCCTCTACGCGGGCGGGGGCTTCCTGGCCGCCCTGAGCGCTGGCCGCTACCTGGGGGCTGCCTTCCCTTTCGGGTACCAGGCCCTCCGGAGGCCCCGCTATTCTTGGGGTGTCTGCGTGTTTATCTGGGCGCTGGTCCTCTGCCACCTGGGCCTGGTCCTGGGCCTGGAGGCCCCGGGGGGCTGGCTAGACAACAGCACCCACTCCTTGGGCATGAGCATCCCCATCAATGGCTCCCCGGTTTGCCTGGAGGCCTGGGACCCAGCCTCGGCTGGACCTGCCCGCCTCAGTTTCTCCATCCTGCTGTACTTCGTGCCCCTGGGGGTGACGGGGCTGAGCTACGCGGGCTGCCTGCGCGCCCTGGCGCTCTCGGGGCTCAGCCACCGGCGGAAGCTGCACGCGGCCTGGGTGGCGGGGGGCGCCCTGCTCACCCTGCTGCTCTGCCTGGGCCCCTACAACGCCTCCAACGTGGCTGACTTCCTGAACCCCAACCTGGGCGGACCCTGGAGGAAGCTGGGACTCATCACTGGGGCCTGGAGCGTGGTCCTCAACCCACTGGTGACTGGATATTTGGGTGCTGGCCCCAGACGGGGGACCGTGTGTGGGCCCAGAACCCAGGGAGGGCCCTCCCTGAAGTAGCTGCCCCAGCTGGGCCTACAGGTGGTCAGGAGGCAGGGGAAAGAGGGGTGCCTGCCGGTCCTTCTGATTGTCTGCCCACAGGCTGGACTCATAGGAAGGAGGCTTTGGAGGTGAGATGGTGGGGGGACGGTGCCAGCCTGGTGATTCTCTTTAGAAATCACCCCAAGAAACCGTACCCCAAGAAAGAACCTTTGAATCTGGAAAGAAGAGAGGAGGCAAGAAAAATGTAGAGGCCTCTGTCATACCATCTTGCGACCACAAGGTGGCAGCATGCAAACAGGAAGTTGGTGACAGTGGCTGACTGATAAACAGCTAATTTGTGCTTGTCTTTCTTGTGCATGCCTGTGTGCATGTGTGTGTGTGTGTGTGTGTGTGTGTGTGTGTGTGTGCGTGCGTGCCAGTCCTGGAGCTTGAACTCATGGCCTGTGTGCTGTCCCTGAGCTTTTCTACCCAAGTTACTGCTCTATTACTGGAGCCACAGCTCCACTTCTGGTTTTTTGCTGGTTGGGTAAAAACCAGGCACCAGTGGCTCATGCCTGTAATCCTAGCAACTCAGGAGGCTGAGATCTGAGGCTCATGGTTTGAAGCTACTCAGGGCAGAAAAGTCCCAGTGAGACTCTTGTCTCTAATTAATCACTCAAAAATCAGAAGTGGTGCTGTGGCTTAAGTGGTAGAGCACTAGCTTTGAGCACAAAGAGGCTCAGGAACAGTGCCCAGGCCCTGAGTTCAAGCCCCACAACTACACACACACACACACACACACACAAGTGTCTCATGGATTTCCTTGCCCCCAGGGTTGGCTTTGAACCAGGATCCTCCAGATCTCATTCTCCTGAGTTAGCTGGTATTACAGGAATAAACTACCAACATGCTTAGCTTAATATGGTATCTTTATTATACCTTCCCTTATCTTCCAAAATAGAGGGTTTTATTTGTTTGTCTGTTATGGGGCTTGAACTCAGGGCCTGGGCTCTGTCCCTGAGCTCTTCAGCTCAAGGTGAGCACTCTACCACTTGAACCAAAGTGCTACTTCTGGTTTTCTGGTGGTTCATTGGAGATGAGAGTCTCATGGACTTTTCTGCCTGGGCTGGTGATCCTCAGATCTCAGCCTCTTGAGTAGCTAGAGTTATAGATTGAACCACCAGCATCCGCCCCGCCCCCTCACCCCCTCCAAAAAAAGTTTTTATTCCCTGTTATACTTTTTTTTGGGGGGGGGGGGGAGGGTCCAGTCGTGGGGTCTGAACTCTGGGCCTGGGCGCTGTCCCTCAGCTCTTCAGCTCAAGGCTAGCGCTCTACCACTTGAGCCACAGCGGTACTTCCGGCTTTTTTCTTTTTGCTTACGTGGTGCTGAGGAATCGAACCCAGGGCCTCAGGCATGCAAGGCAAGCACTCTACCACTGAGCCACCTTCCCAGCCCTCCCTGTTATACTTTTTAACGACCTCCTGGAGACAGTTTATCTGTGGTGACATTCACCGGACCTGAGCTCAAAACGGCCAGCGATTCTGAGTACATTTACAGAGGCATAGGCCAGAAGATGATGTTGTTCTAGAACATTCCACCCTTCCAATACGATCTCTATTTTACTCTTGTTCGGTTCATTTCCACAGGAGGTTCTCAAGACAATCTCTAGCTCTTTAAAAAAATTTGCCTATTCTGAGTCTTTCATGGAAATGAAATTATATAGATTGTGTGGCCTTTTGTGTCCAGCTTGCTTTGTGAACTGCCTATTTTATTTCCCCTTGGAGCGGGGTGGGTTGTAGCATGCATGGGTCTCTCTCTCTCTCTCTTCCTATCTCTCTCTCTCCCTCTCCCTCCCTCCTTCCCTCCCTCCCTCTCTCTCTCTTTCTCTCTGAGCTTGAACTCAGGACCTGGGTGCTGCTATCTCTGAATTTTTTTTCCCCTCAAGGCTGGCACTCTCCTGCTTAAGCCACGCCTCCACTTCCAGCTTTTGGTGGTTCATGGGAGATCAGAGTCTCATGGACTTTCCTGCCTTGGCTGGCTTCGAACCACGATCCTCCAGATCCTGAGTCGTTGGGATGACCGGCATGAACCACGGCACCCGGCTTGGCTGTGTCCATGATCATCTCTGCAACTGTCCCAGGGATCCCCCAGGGCACTGGGCCCCCCCACGACCTGGATCATCAGCACTCTAGAAGGTGGAGAAGAGACCTGGGGGATGGGAGGGCCAGCCGCTGGGGCGGCCCTGTGGTGGAATTTGCTCTCCTCTTTTGCATATGGACCGATTGATGGAGCCCATGACAGACATCTCCTGCTTCTGCTCCTGGGCCGCCCCTTCGAGCTCCGTGTGGATAAATAGGGCAGCGCAGGTGGACGGGAGGAGCCCAGAGAAAGGGTACAGGGGGCGGCTCAGGGCTCAAGCTGGGAGCCCAGGAATCCAGGCCGGCCCTGCTCAGAGAGGTGAGTTCAGAGGCTGCCGGCGTGATATTGCTCCTGGCGATTGGATAAAACGCTTCTTTATTTCTTTTATCATTTGTTTGTACCTGTTCTGGGGCTTGAACTCAGGCCTGGGCGCCATCCCTGAGCTTTTTTATTTTTGCTCAAGGTTGCCACTTTACCACTTGAACCACAGCGCCATTTCAGGCTTTTTCTGTGTATGAGGTACTGAGGAATCCAACCCAGGACTTCATGCATGCTAGGCAAGCACTCTACCACTGAGCCACCTTCCCAGCCCTTTTCCAGCTTTTTTGATTTTGGTGGTTCAGGCTGACTTAGAACTGCGATCCTCCAGATCTCAGCCTCCTGAGGAGCTAGAATAACAGGCCTGAGCCACTGACCGTTATTATGAAATCCTGAGCCCTGGGTTAACCAGTCTCTCTCCCTCCCCCCCATTTTCCACCCAGATGACCACTTTCTCGCTCTCTCTCTCTCTCTCTCTCTGCAGCGCCTGGCATCATGGGGTTGCACATGGACAGGGCGTATTTTGTGGGCCATCACTGGCTTTACTTCTCTGTGTACCTCGTGGCCTTCATGGTAGGCCTCCCACTCAACCTGCTGGCGCTGGTGGTGTTCGTGGGCAAACTCCGCCGGCGCCCGGTGGCCGTGGACGTGCTGCTGCTCAACCTGACGCTGTCCGACCTGCTGCTGCTGCTCTTCTTGCCCTTCCGCATGGTGGAGGCGGCCAGCGGCCTGCGCTGGCCTCTGCCCTTCATCCTGTGCCCGCTGTCCAGCTTCCTCTTCTTCACCACCGTGTACCTCACCTCCCTCTTCCTGGCGGCCGTGAGCGTTGAGCGCTTCCTCAGCGTGGCCTACCCGCTGTGGTATCGAACCCGGCCCCGCCTGGGCCAGGCCATCATGGTCAGCGTGGGCTGCTGGCTGCTGTCCGGGGCCCACTGCAGCGTGATCTACGTGGCGGAATTCTCTGGAAACTCTTCCGAGAGCCAAGGAAGCAATGGGACGTGTTACCTGGAGTTCCGAGATGACCAGCTGGCCGTGGTGTTGCCCGTGCGGCTCACCATGGCCGTGTTGCTTTTTGGGGTACCCCTGCTCATCACCAGCTATTGCTACGGGCGCCTGGTGTGGCTGCTGGGCCGGGGGGCCAGCCGGCGGCGGAGGACCCGGGTTTTGGGGCTCCTGATCGCCACGCTGCTCAACTTCATCGTGTGCTTCGGGCCCTACAATGTGTCTCACATAGTGGGGTTCATGCAGGGGGTGAGCCCCACCTGGAGGGGCTACGTGCTGCTGCTCAGCACCCTCAACTCCTGCGTGGACCCCCTCGTCTACTACTTCTCCTCCTCCCGCTTCCAAGTCGACTTCCAGAACCTTCTGCGGAGGCTGGTAGGGGGCAGGAGCCCCCTGGCTGTGGACAGCAGCCTGGAACTGAAAGGGAAGGGGGGAGGGGGGCAGAGGGAGGCCTGAGGGGGGCTCTCCCACCCCCCTCAGGCCTGGGAGATGGAAATGGGGTACCCAGGAGAGCTTGGGAGCTCTCTGCGGATGGGCAGGCAGGACCCCACAGCGGCAGGCTGGGGTGACTCAAGACCCAGCTGACCCAGCTCTAAATCGTTTTTCTTTCTGCGGGGAAGGAGGGGCTACTGAGATTTGAACTTGGGGTCTTGCAGTTGCTCTACCACTTGAGTCATGTCCCACTCAGTCCCCCTTTTCTTTGCTTTCGTTTATGGCGTGGGCACTGTCTCTGAGCCCTTTTTGCTCAAGGCTGGCACTCTACCACTTGAGCCACTGTGCCACTTCCTTCTTTTTGCTGGTTCGTTGGAGATAAGAGTCTCCCAGACTTTCCTGCCTGGGCTTTGAACCCTGATCCTCAGATCTCAGCCCCCTGAGTAGCTAGGATGACAGGCGTGAGCCACCAGCGTCCAGCTGGATAAGGTCTCCATGGTTTTTGGTTTGGCTTGGTTTGGACTGTAATCCGCCTATTTATGCCTTCCTACTAGAAATGATTATGAATGGACCACCACAGCCAGCTTACTGACATGGGGTCTTGATAACTTTTTCTTTGGTTGTGTTTTGGGTTTTGTTTGTACTTCCGGGACTGGCTAGAACTGCCATTCCCCCCCCACCCCCATTTCCATGCCCTCCTTGCCCCTCCCAAGCCCTGACGCAGAGCTGGGGTTACAGGTGTGCGCTACCACTGCTGACCCTCAAACCCTGCCTTTCTCAGGGTGTTACCACCAAGCCAATTCTTGCCTCTCTCCTCCCCCGCCCCTTGCTCATCCTCCTTCAGGCACCGGATGGGGCAAGGCCCAGCAGCAGGCCACGCCCTCTTTCTTGACTTCATATCAGTGGTGTGGGGGGGTAGGTGAGGGGCAGAGGGAGTGGAGGGAACTGTCCAGTGGTTTAGGACAGGAGAGGGGAGAAGGATGGGGGGGGGAATGAGGCAGCAATCTTTCTCTCATGGACTTTTCTAGAAAGTTCTCACAGCTGGAGAAATTCAGATGTAGCAGGGACAATGATAAACAGTAAGAGAAGAAAAATGTGCCCTAATAAATCGGCTAACAAACCAAAGAGAGATGGCGTGCGGTCTTTGCCTCATTTCCTTTGCACATGGCCACCGGGCCTGGGGTGGAGGCGCAGCGGCCCGGGCTCAGCCACAAGCCTGCCACCAGCAGAGGGCGCCACCTGCATTAAGCAACCAAACAAGACCTGGGAAGGTGGCTCCGTGGTAGAGCGCTTGCCTTGCATGCACGAGGCCCTGGGTTCGATTCCTCAGCACCACGTAAGCAGAAAGAGCCGGAAATGGCGCTGTGTCTCAAGTGGTAGGGACTTGCCTTGAGCTGAAGAGCTGAGGGACAGCGCCCAGGCCCAGAGTTCAAGCCCCACAACTGACAAAAAAGAAAAGAACCCAAACAAACCACGCATACAACATTCCCATTTGGTGATGCTGCGATTTGAACTCAGAGCCTCATATATTCCAGAGGCAATGGCAGACCCAGAGCTAGGAGATGGTGCCTAACCAGAAAGACCTTGATCAGCATACTGTCCTTTTCTTTTCTTTTCCTTTTGGTCAGTCACGGGGCCTGAACTCTGGGCCTGGCGCTGTCCCTCAGCTCTTCAGCTCAAGGCTAGCGCTCTACCACTTGAGCCACAGCGCCACTTCTGGCTTTTTCTGCTTATGTGGTGCTGAGGAATGGAACCCAGGGCCTCATGCATGCGAGGCAAGCGCTCTACCACTGAGCCACCTTCCCAGGCCTTGCCTGGCCTTTTCTTTTGTCAGTCACGGGGCTTGAATTCAGGGCCCAGGCTCTCTCTCTGAGCTACTTTTGCTCAAGGCTGGTGCTCTACCACGTAAGCCACAGCTCTGATTCTGGTTTTTTTCTTTTTGTTGTTGATGAATTAGAAATAGTCACACAGGGGCTGGGAAGGTGGCTCAGTGGTAGAATGCTTGCCTTGAATGCCTGAGGCCCTGGGTTCGATTCCTCAGCACCACATAAGCAAAAAGAAAAAAAAAAAGAAATAGTCACACAGACTTTTCTGCCTGGGCTGGCTTTGAACCATGATCCTCAGATCTCAGCTTCCTGAATAACCCGGACAGGTGTGAGCCACTGGCGCCAGCTTCATTCCTTGATTTTCTTACTTTATGTCCTTCCTGTTTCCCCACCCAGGGAACCTCAGGCCAGCCAAATAGATGGCCCTGATTTGCATATCAGGTACATTCATATTTATATGTAAATTTCCCACTAATGGTAAATGTTTGGGGGTGCACGTGGCTCCTTTTATAAGAGCCTTCTATAGGAGCCCCTTGGGGGCTACAGAGAGTCTGGGTGTTAGGGGCTGGGAATGTGGCTTAGTGGTACAGTGCTTGTCTAGCATTCATGAAGCCCTGGGTTCAATTTCTCAGTACCACATACATAGAAAAAGCCAGAAGTGGTGCTGTGGCTCAAGTGGTAGAGTGCTAACCCTGAGCAAAAAGAAGCTCAGGGACAGTGCCCAGGCCCTGAGTTCAAGCCCCAGGACTGACCAAAAAAAAAAAAAAAATGAAGCAAGAGGAGAGAAGGCTGGGTTGATAATAAGAGGATTATCAATGATGGGAAAGGGTGCTAATTTAGCCAGGCACCAGTGGGCCGAGGGTCCCTGAGAAATAAAGACCGGAGGGAAACGGTGCCACACTTAAATATGGTTCTGGTGCACAACAGAACGAGCCAGGCTGCCCTGGGGCGGAGGGAAAGAAAGAGACTGTGGAAGACGGGGTTTTAGTAAGAGTTGTGACATTCTGAATTCCGTGTCTTCTTTGCCGCAAAGAGAAAAGAGGAAAGAGGAAAGAGGCTGGGCTCCATAGTTCTCATCTGCCATCCCAGACCCTTGGGAGGTGGAGATAGGAGGCTCAAGGCCTGCTAGTTTTTTCCAATTTAAAAAAAAGCTGAGCACTGGTGGGTCACGCCTGTAATCCTAGTTATTCGGGAGGCTGAGATCTGAGGATCGAGGTTCAAAGATAGCCCAGGCAGGAAAGTCCATGAAATTCTAATCTCCACTTAACCACCAGAAAACCGGAAGTGGCGCTGTGGCTCAAGTGGTAGAGCGCTCGCCTTGAGCTGAAGAGCTCAGGGACGGAGCCCAGGCCCAGAGTTCAAGCCCCGCGACCAACAACACAACCAAAAAAAAAGTAGCTGGGCTCTGGTGGCTCACGCTTGTCCTCCTAGATACTCAGGAGGCTGAGATCTGGAGGATTTTGGTTCGATCCCAGGCCAGGTAGGAAAGTCCATGAGATCCTTATCTCAAACTACCTAGAAAAAGCTGGAAGTGGCGCTGTGGTGGAGTGCTGAGAGCAAAAGACAAGGAAAGAAAGAAAGAAAGAAAGAAAGAAAGAAAGAAAGAAAGAAAGAAAGAAAGAAAGAAAGAAAGAAAGAAAGAAAGAAAGAAAGGAAGGAAGGGAAGGAAGGAGAGGGGCAGGGAGGGAGGGAAGGAGGGAGAGGGGCAGGGAGGGAGAGAAGGAGGGAGGGAAAAAGAGAAAGAATGAAGAAAATAAAGGAAGGAAAAAAAGAAGGAAGGAAAAAGAGCAAGAAGGGGAGAGAGAGAGAGAGAAGAAGGAGGGGCACCAAGGGGAAACTGAGTCACTCCAGGACAATGATGTCTAGTTATAGAGTCTAACTACAGACTGAGAAGCTGGTGGCCCCCAGGAAACTAGGGGACCCTGCTTGAGGCTGGCTATTTCCAGGAGTTCTGGAACATATCTCCACACACTCCCCCCCCCCCCCCCCAAGAATAAAGCTTTTCATTATCTGTTATTTTTATTTTGTTTTTATTTTCTTTGGCTTTCCTGTGTCCTGGGGCTGTTTTCCTAGAGAGACTGGCATTTGAGGGAGGCTGGGTTAGATCGAGGGGGGGGACTTCCCCCCTTGCCTCGACCAGGGCTGAGTCCCTGGGACACAGTGAACCCTGGTTCCTCAGAGACGCAGGATGGTGGGGCATAACCCAGCTCCTTCTCCCGCCCCACAGCAAAGTCAATAATTGCTCTGGGCAGTGCTGGCAGGTGGCACTGCGGCCCGGGGTGGGCAGTGGACAGCGGTGTGTGCAGACCGTGTTGGAACGGGCCGGGGGCCTGGCATTCACCGTGCAGCCTCGAACCCAGGACATCAAGGAATGTGTGTGTGCGGCTATGTGGGTGTATGTGTGGGGGGGTGTCTCCTGACTCTGCCTTTATTCTATTCTTTTCTTCTTTCTTTCTTTCCTTTTTAGGTCCAAGACTGGAACTCGAACACAGTACCTGCTGCTGCTTTGACTCACTGGCTGGTGCTCTTCTAACAGAACCACACCTCCAACATCTGCTTTTCTTCTTCTTTTAAAAAAAAATCAGTTGTGGGGCTTGAACTTGGGGCCTGGACACTTGTCCCTGAGTTCCTTGGAGGCACAGCTCTACTTCTGACATTTAAAAAAAAAATCTATTTTGGTGACTCATTGGAGATCAGATGCTCACTGACTTTCCTGCCTGGGCTGGGCTTTGGAACCACGATCCTCTAGATCACAGCCTCCCGGAGAAGTGAGGATTCCCAGACTCCAGCCTTCCCAGGACCCATGGCAGACCGGTACAGCACGTGGATCCTGGCGGCCTACGTGGCCATATTCATCACCGGCCTCCCGGCTAACCTCGTGGCTCTGCGGGCCTTTTTGGGGAGACTCCAACAGCCACACCCAGCCCCGGTGCACGTCCTGCTGCTCAGCCTCACGCTGGCCGACCTGCTGCTGCTGCTACTGCTGCCTTTCAAGATGGCAGAGGCGGCGTGGGGCTTTGTGTGGCCACTGCCCAGGGCCCTGTGCGCGCCCACGGCCTTCGCCCAGTACAGCAGCATCTACTGCAGCACTGGGCTGCTGGCGGCCATCAGCGTGGAGCGCTATTTGGGGGTGGCCTTCCCGGTGAGGTACAAGCTGGCCCGGAGGCCGCTGCACGGCGTGCTGGCCGCCTTGCTGGCCTGCACGCTGGCCTGCGGCCATTGCACCATCGTTATCGTCATTGAGTACGTCAACGCCACGCAGCTGGCCACAGCTGGCCGCAGCTGCTACGGCGACTTCACGGCGGCCCAGCTGGCCGTGCTGCTGCCCGTGCGCCTGGAGCTGGGCCTCGTTCTCTTCCTGCTGCCGCTGATCATCACCGCCTTCTGCTACTGGCGCCTGGTGCGGCTGGTGTGGGGCCAGGCCCACGCGGGACCGCGGCGGCGCAGGGCGGCCGGGCTGGCCCTGGTCAGCCTGCTCAGCTTCCTGCTCTGCTTCGGGCCCTACAATGTGTCCCACGCCGTGGGCTTCTACCTGCACACAAGCCCGCCGTGGCGCGTGGATGCCCTGATCTTCACGGCCCTCAATGCCAGCCTGGACCCGTTGCTGTTCTACTTCTCTTCTTCCACGGTGCGCAGAACTTTCTGGAAAGGGGTGAAGGAGTGCCATCGCCAGGGTGCTTCTCTGTGGGGCTGTAGAGCCAAGGAGATGGGGGAGGCCGCCAGTGGGAGCCCAGGCCCGGGCCACGCTGAAGCCACTCTGGGCTCAGAGTCTTCCCCAGGCTAGTCGTGTCTACCCGCTGAGGATTTGGAGGTTTGGGGGGGGGCAACCCCAAAAGCTGGGAAAACTTGGAGTTGGAGGTGGGGAGGGATGGGGGTGGCTCTTAGAAATGTTATTTTGTTGTTGTTGTTGTTGTTAGTGGTAGGGCTTGAACTCAGGGCCTAGATGCTGTCCCTGAGCCTCTTTTTGCTCAAGGCTAGCGCTCTGCTACTTGAGCCACAGCACTATTCCCAGTTTCTGTATGGTTTCTTGGAGATAAGTGTGTCACAGACTTTCCTGCCCAGGCTGGCTTCAAATCACGATCCTCAGATCTCAGCCTCCTGAGGAGCTAGGATGACAGGTGTGAGCCGCCAGTGCCCCAGCACAGAGCGGTATCTTTTTGTTTATTTTTTTTGTGTGTGTGCTAGTCCAGGGGCTTGAACTCAGAACTCAGGGCCTGAGCACTGTCCCTGAGTTGCTTTTGTTCAAGGCTAGCACTCTACCACTTGAGCCACAGTGCCACTTCTGGCTTTTTCTGTGTATGTGGTACTGAGGAACTGAACCCAGGGCTTCATGCATGCTAGGCAAGCACTCTACCACTGAGCTACCTTCCCAGCTCAAAGAGCAGAATCTTAAAGCTTTGAAGCAAGCCCTGAGTCTGGTTTCACCCTGTCAGTGCTGGAAAGAAATGGATAGCCAGAGATGGAAGAGTACTACATTGTAGTGAAAAAGACGCAGGCTTGGGGGAGTCCTAACCTGGGATGGGGCGGGGGAGGGTGATTTGGGGGCTTGGGCTGCTCATGGTTGGACTCTGGGTTGCTTGGCTGAGTTCTAGAAGCAGCTTCCTGAGGGTTTGTGCTGTGTCTTCTGTGTTCAGCTTGGAGCGGAGCAAGATATGGAGGGGTTGTCTTTATACCCCATCCTGAGCCAATGGCTTGGAACCAATCTTTCTAAGAGCAAAGCTTCCCTTCCTCGGACACTCCCCCCCCCCCCCCCCCGCCCCTGAGCCCAATCTGGTCCAGAAGATGGCATAAATAAATAAATAAATATGAACTCTGAAGGGTGGGACCCTGATCGCCGTGGTGTTGAGATCCAGACAGCGCAGCAGAGGAAGAAATGTGGACAGATGGTGTGCACAGGCGCAGATCCAGTGGCATCCCAACAGACCCGGGAGGGACACAGAAAGAGGGGGCAGTGGAGCCTGGCTCTGAGCTGTCTGTCTGTCTGCCTGGTCTGTTCCTGGGCCTAGAAACACTTTCTGTGCTGCTCAGGAACATTTCATCTGTCCTGCTCTCCTCCAGTGCAGAGTCTTTTGGCTGGCTCTGGGCTGGCCTCCCTCATTTCTCGGCCTTCACAAGCCCCGCCCCCTCTTGGGTGCTCCCCTACCCCCCCCCCCCCCCCCCGGAATCTCACTTTGTCAATCATGGGGCTTGAACTCAGGACCAGGGTGTTGTCCCTGAGCTCTTTTGCTCAAGGCTGGCTAGTGCTCTACCGCTTGAGCCACAATGCCACTTCCGGTTTTCTGGTGGTTTATGGGAGATAAGAGTCTCATGGACTTTCCTGCCTGGGCTGGCTTTGAACCACGATCCTCAGATCTCAGCCTCTTGAGTAGCTAGAATGACAGGTGCAATGGCTTCTGGGAGGCCATGGGGGGCAACAGGAGCCTGGGCCGAGAGGAAGCGACTGGATTGCTCCGTGCCATCCAGGCGTCCACCACCTCCCATCCTGGCACATTGAAGAAACTCACGCCTGCTCAGGGCTGAGCCAAATCCCCGCCAACCCCGAGGTTCTCAGCCACAGGAAGTACAAAATAAAGCGCTCTGCCCCATGCCGCTGGCTCACGCCTGTCATCATCCAGGCTACTCAGGAGGCTGAGATCTGAGGACTGAGATTCAAAGCCAGCTCAGGCAGGAAAACCCTGGAGACTCTTCTCTCCCATGAACCACCAGAAAACCAGAAGTGGAGCTGTGGCTCAAGTGGCAGAGCAAAAGAACTTAGGACCGTGTCCAGGCCCTCAGTTCAAGCCTCAGGGCTGGTGTGCACACATGTGTACACACACACACACACACACACACACACACACACACGCACCCCCCCCCCCCATTACATAAAAAATAAGATAAAAGGTTTTACTCTTTACAGAGGTATGAGAACATTGCCAGAAGTGGTCTGAGACTCACAGGGCAGAGCTTTAGTTCCATGCTTACAAGGCCCGGACCTGCCAAGTGGGCCGCTCAGGCCAGTCATCCTAGCTACTCCACAGGGAGAGATCGGAAGGATCATGGTTCAAAGCCGGCTAGGAGAGAGGAAGAAGAGCTGTGAAACTCCATCTCAACAAAGATGCTGAGTGTGGTGGTGGGTGCCTGCTGTGAGGGGGGGGGCGGATTATCCATCAGGAGATGGAGGCTGGGGCCAGCCTGCGGATATTTGAAACAGACAAAGTGGAACTGAGCTCCCGAGGTGGGGCCTGGCCAAAGGAAGTAGAGCACTTGTTTAGCAAGTGTGAGGCCTCAAGTTCAAACCCCAGCACTGCCAACAAAAGAGAGAGAGAGGAGAGAGGGAGAGGGAGAGAAAGGAAGAGAGAACAAGAGGGAGAAAGAAAAGAACGAGAGACAGAAAGAGAGAAAAGAGTCTGGTTGGAGGCGTGGTTCAGGTGGTAGAGTGCCAGCCATTGCGTGAAAGCAGGCATCAGGTGCCGAGTTTGAGTCCTGCTCTCAGATCTAAAGAAGAAGACAGGAACCCAGTAGCCAGGAGGGAAAATCGAGACTTCTAACCCTGGCACATAGTAAACTTCATGGGGCTGGCTGAGTTCCTTCTGTGAACATCCGGGTACCTGCATAGTTCTGGGGTGTCCATCTCCCCCCTTCCCCGGCACTCCTGGGGCCCCCGAGCAAGAGGACAGATGGGTAAACAGAAATAGGAAGGCATGGTTAATGAATAACGTGAAGGGTAGCCTAGAATTGGCAGCTACCAGGAAACGCAGGTGGCAGGAATTGGCGGATGCCCCTGCCCCCTGCCCCCCCGAAAAAACTAACAGGCTTGGCTTTGTGGCAATTGCCATGTGAGGGAAGATGTTATTGGGTGGGCATGGAAGGTTCTAGAAAAGTGTCCAGGATGGCAGCTTTCTCCTTCGGATCGCTCTCTCCCTGCCTCTGAGCTTCCTCAGCGCCTGGCTATGGTTCAAGATTTTTTTTTTTCTTCTCTTTTTGTTTGCCTAACCCCCATTTTTTTCCTCACCCCCCGCTTTTTATCCTTTGCCTGTAGTGAGCAGGAAGCGGGGACATTGTTCAGCCGTGAGTGAGGCATGCCAGCCCGGATATTGGATCAAAGATTCTTTGAACCTTCGGAAGACACCGTGCGGTAATCCAGTCAGCTACGTGTCTCCGGCTTCAAAGGCCGATCGGGGACCCCAGATGGCCCAGGGAGAAAGTCTTCGCAAAGAAAGGGGGGGGGGCACCTGACCCCATGTTCTTGATGCTGCCCTGGGAAAGAACCCTAGGACACATCCAAGCAAAACCCAAGAAAGTTCATCAGTAAAAAGCACAGAAAGAGGAAGAAGCCGGGTGCTGTAGCTCACACCTGTAATCCCAGCTACTCAGGAGGCTGAGATCTGAGGATTGCAGTTCAAAGCCAGCCTGGGCAGGAAAGTCCATGAGAGTCTTGTGTCCAACAAACCACCAAATTAAAAAAAAAAAAAAGAGCTAGGAGTGGAGCTATGGCTCAAGGGGTAGATCCATCTTGCGATTGGGCTTGTCTGTGACTCAGTTTCCCCAGGCAGCTCTGTACAACTGCAGGGTTAACGGCCCCACAGCTGTCACGCATTGCACTCACCCCAGGCTGCAGAGACTTCCCCATCCCTGAGACCGAACAGCCATCCAGAGATCAAGGCTTCCGCAGGCCAGAAATGGAACCAGAACATTCATGCATCTTGCTCACTCCTGTCTGCCCCTCCATCAGTTCCCCTCTGCATAAATGGCCCACAAAACCTTCTGCTACATGATGGGGCAGGTATAGAGGGTTCTGGGGGTGCTTCGTACCATTCCCCAGGGGCCCCAGCTGCCCGTATGGATCGTTCTGTGTGACCCACAAATGCTGTGCTATTAAAATGCTCTTGGACAGAGAAAAAGTTCCCCATCCCTGCAAGAGAACTGTAAAGTGCTGTGGGAGGCATGGCTCAGTTGTTAGAGAGCCAGGGCAATGAGCAAAAGTGGTAAGTACCGAGTTCAAGTCCTAATCTCACCCTAACCAAAATTAAATTTAAAATTAAAGCTGGTCACGAGTGGGTGGCTCACACTGGTCATCTTAGCTACTCGGAGGCTGAGATCTGGAGGATCGCATTTCAAAGCCAGCCTGGGCAGGCAAGTCTATAAGACTCTTTATCTCCAATGAGCTACCAGAAAACTGGAAATGAAACTGTGGCTCAAAGTGGTAGAACACTCATCTTGAGCAAAAGCTCCCAGGGACAGTGCCCAGGCCCTGAGTTCAAGCCCCAGGACTGGCAAAAACAAAAAAACAAAAAAAAAGCTGTCTGTGCCCCACGTGATGGTCTTGTCTAGCTATCCATAAACTCCTTGAAAGCAGGAACTGAGTTTACTGTCCCTTAGATGATCCACTTCCTCAATTAACCAGCAGGGCCGCTGTGAGCCAAGCCAGCTGCTCATCAAGGTCCAGATTCAGCCTAAACAAACAGAGCCGGGTGGGGCAGACACCCGGGAGAGGCCTTGCTGCCTCTGGGCTCACTGTAGGCCCAATGTGCCTCTGTGTCCCCATATGTTCAAGAAAAACACCAAGCACAAAACCAGAGATCAATTCAAGTAATGTGGCGCTGTAAGGGCAGTGATCAGACCAGTCAGAACCACGGCCACAAGGACATTAGCTCATGTCTTAGCTCTTTCACAGTAGCTGGATAGATGTGTGGATGAATGAATGGATGGATGGATGGATGGATGGATGAATAGATGGCTGGGTAGATGAATGGATAGGTGGCTGGGTAGATGGGTGGATGGTGGATAGTTGGGTGGATGGATGGATGAATGAGCAGGTGGGTGGCAGGTGGGTGGATGGATGAATGAACGCATGGATGGATGGATGGATGAGTGGATGGGTGACTGTTAGGTGGGTGTTTAGATGAATGAAGGAATGAGTAGGTGGTTGTCAGGTGGGTGGGTGGTGGATTGATGAATGAGGCTCCTGAGGCCCTGCTTACCATTCTCTTTTATTCCCTCACTCCTTTGGTCACCAGATGTGGGCTTCCTTGGTTTCCCCACTTACATTCAGAAGCACAGGTTGCTTGAGATCCTCAGGTGAAGCATTTCAAGGGAGCACCATGAGGTGACAGGTCTAGGACTTAATATAGCAAGATGAAGTGGAAGATATAAATTTTTTTAAAAAAATCTAAGCCAGGCACCAGTGGCTCACGCCTGTCATCCTAGCTACTCAGGAGGCTGAGATCTGAGGATCATGGTTCAAAGCCAGCCTGGGCAAGAAAGTCCATGAGACTCTTTTTTTTTTTTTTGGGTCCAGTCGTGGGGCCTGAACTCTGGGCCTGGGCACTGTCCCTCAGCTCTTCAGCTCAAGGCTAGCGCTCTACCATTTGAGCCACAGCACCACTTCCGGTTTTTTTCTTTTTGCTTATGTGGTGCTGAAGAATCAAACCCAGGGCCTCAGGCATGCAAGGCAAGCGCTCTACCACTGAGCCACCTTCCCAGCCCGCCATGAGACTCTTATATCCAATGGACCCCCCCTCCAAAAAAAAAAGCCACAAGTAGAGCTGTGGTTCAAGTGGTAGAGCATCAGCTTTGAGCCAAAGAAGCTCAGGGGCAGTGCCTAGGCCCTGAGTTCAAGCCCCAGATTCAGTGTGCACACACATACGCATACACACACACACACACACACACACACCATTGCACGAAGGGTCTAGGGTTTGGGAAAGGCGGGTAGGGGAAGATAACGCAGGGGAAGAGAGTTTTGGGTGTCCCTGCTGCTGGTTAGGGAGAAGGAGCTGGGATGCCAGGGGACCCCCAACAGGTTGGTTTTTGTCCCCAAGGCTCCATCATGAGAGGAATACATCATTTTGTTTTCTCTCACGGGAGGCTCCACCCATTCTCCCTCCTAGATAAAAGGCTCCAAATGCAAGAGAACACAGGGAAAAGCAGCTGGAACTCTGTAGTTCACCTGCTTGTATGTGTGTGTGTGCCAGGCCTAGGACTTGAACTCAAGGCCTGGTTGCTGTCCCTGAGCTTCTCTGAGCCACAGCTTCACTTTGGGCTTTTTGGGTTTTCATTGGAAATGAGAGTCTCACAGACTTTTCTGCCCAGGCTGGCTTTGAACTGCAATCCACCAGATCTCAGCCTCCTGAGTAGCTAGGATGACAGGCGTGAGCCACTGGCACCTGGCTTCCATTATTTCTCTTGCTTTCAATCCTTCCGATTTTTTTTCTCTCTCTCTCTTTCTCTGTCTCTCTGTCTGTCTCTGTCTCTCTCTTGTCAGTCCTGGGGCTCAAACTCAGGGCCTGGGCACTGCCTCTGAGCTACTTTTGCTCAAGGCTAGTGCTCTACCACTTGAGCCACAGCACCACTTCCGGCTTTTTGGGTATGTGGTACTGAGGAATGGAACCCAGGTCTTCATGCATTCTAGACAAGCACGCTACCACTAAGCCACACTCCCAGCCACTCTCCTCCAATTTTCTGCTCCACTCTTCTCTCCCAGCTCAAGATTTCCACCCACAGCCTCCCCTACCTCCAGAGCACAGGGGCTGAGGCCAGAAACAGGAGCAGATGGAAAACAGATGTGTTTAGATGGAAAACATTTTATTGGATCGCAGAACCGGGGGAAGTCATTGGAGGCCGGGAGATGGAGGCCAGAGTAGGGGGTGGCGGTGGGGCTGGAAGTCCTGGGGTCTCACTGTTCATCTGGGGTGGCACTCCTCAGGCCCTTCAGCTGGAAGAAGATGGGGAGCGTCAGGCTGGGGAGCCCCGTGAGGAAGCCAGCACAAGATGAGAGGCAATTGATTTTCTTTCTTTTGTTTTGTTTTACTTCATGTTTGGTGCTGGGCTTAGGGCTTGAACTCAGGGCCTGGGCACTGTCCCTGAGCTCTTTGTGATCAAGGCTGGCACTCTACCACTTGAGCCACACCGCACCACTTCAGGCTTTTTAGTGGTTCATTGGTGGGAAGAGTCTCACGGACTTTTCTGCCCCTGCTGGCTTTGAACAGCCATCCTCTAGATCTCGGCCTCCTCAGCAGCAAGCGATTTCTAAGTTTCCAGTCTCCTCCAAACACATCTCCCTGACTCCCTCCCCTCCCCTCCTCCCGCCCCCCCTCCTCCCCCAGCTTTGCTCCGCTCCAGCTTCCTCTTTAGCCCTAAAAGGATCTCACTCTTACCTTAGGAAACGCCTCCCAGTTAAAAAAAGGAAATGCCCTTTTGACTGCCTGTAAGAAGAAAAGACAAAGAGAGCCATGTGTGTTGGTGTGTGCATGTGGGAGGAATAAGGATCAGTATACACTCTCAGAGAAACTCCCAGAAGCCATTGTGGCTCTGTTTATAGACCACCCCCAAGGTCTCACTGTGCTCCGGCCCTGGGCCTTCAGGCTCCAAGAAGGTCCCCCCATCCTCCTTCATTCCAGAACACTCCAACTCTCAGCCTGGCACCCATGGCTCGCGCCTGTCACCCCAGTGACTCAGGAGGAGGCTGAGATCTGGAGGATCATGGTTCGAAGCCAACGGGGTCAGGCAAGTCCCTGAGACTCTCATCTCCAATTAATCAACCAAGAGCCAGAAGTGGAGCTGTGGCTCAAGTGATCGAGCACTAGCCTTGAGCACAAAGGCTCAGGGCTAGCACCCAGGCCCTGAGATCAAGTCACACACACACACACACACACACACACACACACAGAACTCAGGGACAAGCCTAAAGACCCTCTGATCAAGCCCTACGATATGGCTCACCTCCATAATAGCATGCCAGTTCAGGAAGTCGTCACTCTTCAGCAGCTGGGGGGAAAAAGGGGGGGAAAGCAGGTGAGTCTGGGTGGGGTGTGGTGGGGGGGTTGAAGTTAGCCCCAGCCCAAATAACGGAGCAGGCAAAGGGCCAGCGGCCTAGCAAGCTGATCACCGCTCTAGCGAGCAGGCCGTACTCACAGATTGCATCTTGTTGAGGTTCAGGAACTGGTTATTAAAAGCCTAGGCAGAAAAGCAGGGTGTTAATCAAGAGGCCAAGAGACCAGAGTTGGCGGAAGGGGAGAGGCCCAAGCTGGAGCGCAGGAGCCGCGCCTTACCTCCGATCTCGCGTCATAATTGGCCA